CACCCTATCAACGCGTTTCGCCCTGCTAACGAGGGCTTTTTCAAGATAGGTGCTCGGAGCATTATTCGGCAGTTTTATACTTGCCGGGTAAAACAAATTCAAATCTCTTAAGGGTATATACCCTTCTTAAAACACATGTAAAAAAAAAACATGTTAAAAAAAGGCTACAATTTGTGTAAACAGGGGCAAATTACTTCCCAACAATAAATATAAAATCCTACACATAAAACACAATATTGACCTGATACAGTCTATGTATAAACTTAAACTACTAAAAAAATGATAATGCATTAATACACAGATCCAAAACATAAAACAATCACTGTAACAGTGATTGCTATATACATGTTTATACATCTAACTCCTGGATATCAATCTCCTAACTCTTATAATGTCATAGGTATTGCTTGATCATGATGTATAAATAATAATAATTACATTCTTAACAAATGACCACAGGGTATATAAATTTATCAGTAGTTTTCATCAAGTTAGAAACCTAATAACAGATTGTATCCCTAGAACTGTAAAAAGAAGAATGTGCTAACTGGTATAGACTCATGGCATAATAAACTATGTCTAATACAGAAAATGCAAGATAAGGCATCTCATAATAGTATATGTTTCTATATTTTTTATCTTAGGAACTCCTAACATATCAATCAAAACTTATATATATATAAACTTATAAATAGCAATCAATGGAGTACAATAAATGGAGGGTCATTGCAATGAATAGAAAAAGTCAGATTGGGCAGGGAAGACAATAACAGCTAAATAGTGACTGAAAAGATAATCAGATAACAGAAAAGAAAAAGATATATAAAGCCAACATTTTAACAAGTGACATACAGAAAAGCATTAAATGAGCACTTCACCCAATACAACTTATTGTAAAGAATATGGCATAAGGATATTGGGTGCCATCCCCCCAATTTTTGGAAAATGTTTTCCAGCATTTTGAGGAAAAAAAAAAGAATCTCCTAACAAACAAAGTTTGACCCCTTTGTAATCACTAAGACACTGCAGAAATTATCAGTACAAACCAGAGTTAGATTAAAATTGCCTAGGATTCTAGACAGAATGCCAGATTGAGTCCCACTCATAGAAACATGGGCTCTGTTCTCAGTGCTGCATTCTGGCATTTGCCTTGGGTGTCACTATCTAAGAGGTAGCAAACACTGCCAACCCCATACATCTGCTTTGATGCCCATGGTGTTCCAAGAACTTGCTCCCCTAAGGCGGGCAGGTGCATGCAAAATAGAGGTGACAAGGAAACTGGAATCTACTTGCTCTGCCCCGTCCTGTGATGCTGGGAGCCGGAATATGATAGCACTCTGGCCACGGCTTGTGAGTGAGCAGAGCTAGAAGATTACAGCTCGCTCGCGTCCTCCATTGCGCGTCCGCTTGGCAGTTATTTCATCATTAAAATCCATCCTGGTTTGCTGTCCTCAGAGAACAGTGTTCCTAGATGTCATGTTAACAGGCAAGTCATGAAACCTAAATAAACCAGATGACTTTTTTTCCCAGAGTACAACTGAAAAAGAATGCACTACACTTTCCATTGCACATATATCTGGATCAGAAATAATTTATGAAATATGCATGGGGCAGTTGCTGTCAGGGCCGGTGCAAGGATTTTTGCCGCCCTAGGCAAAAGTAAAGTTTGACGCCCCCCCCCCCCGTGACATCGCAATGCCCCACCCATATGACCTGCCATGTTAACTAACGCTAGTGCTGCAGTGCCGCTGTGTTTACATTAAAAGGCCTGCAGGGACAGGCTATAGACACCAGGACCACTACATTAAGCTGCGGTGGTTCTGGGGACTATAGTGTTTCTTTAATGTGAGGTAAATTAGAGATTAGTGCCACGAATAATATACTAGATTACCTACTTACAAGCAGATGAGGATGATGATGGGCTCTAGCTGCGTAAGGGATGCATTGTGTGTAAGGGTTGCATTGCGTGTGTGTGTGTGTAATGCATTGTGTGTGTAATGCATTGTGTGTTTTTCTGTGTGCAAGGGGTTCATTGTCTTTGTGTGTAAGGGGTGCATTGTGTGTGATTGTGTGTGTGTGTGTGATGGATGTCAATCTCTCCCCCCTCCCTTGTTACTCTCATTCCCCCTCCCTCCCCTGTCACTCCCCCCTCCCTGTCAATTTCTCTCTCCCCATCAATTCCCCTCCCTGTCAATGTCTTCCTCCTCCCTGTTAGTTCCCCCCTGTTAGTTTCTTCCCCCCACCTCCCTGTTAGTTTCTTTCCCCCCTCCCTGTTAGTTTCTTCCCCCCCTGTTAGTTTCTTACCCCCACCTCCCTGTTAGTTTCTTTCCCCCCACCTCCCTGTTGGTTTCTTTCCCCCA